TGTCAAGTTGTGAGATGAAGTCTTTCGAGCTACAGTTAGCAATAATTTCACAAATTTGATTAAAGGGGAGCTCTGGTCTCTTATCTACACTTGAGCTTTCTTGAAACTTCTTTGTTGATCTTTTCAGAGGATCAAGTAAATGGTTGAGGGTGGTTGCACGAGTTGAAAACTTGGTCTTTGATTTTCCGTGAATTGAAGAGAATCTGTGAGCTGAAGGTGTACCGAGCCATGAGTGACGCAAGCTGCAAAAATTCACCATTTGTCAAAATATTCTAAGAGTTTTGTCAAAATGCACTTGAAATTTTGGGCTTCGATTTTTATAAGTTAAAACAAATATGTGAGCTAAAGGTATCGCGAGCCAAGAGTGTGGCAAGCTGGGATGATTGCGGCTTTCTTCATCAAGCTATAACTCCTTCGTTGAGCTAATTTCTTTTGGTGAGTTTCTACATTTCAAACTTTTTTTGTTATTGCTCCATACTTGTACTGCTTCATAATTTAATGCTCAGTTGGGCACAACGTGTTTGCTTCTTGCTTGAGCCAGAGATTTATCCATAAAGGTGTAGCGAGCTAGCGGGGTTCATTTGTTGTTGGCTGTATTTCAAAACCCTTTCAGTGAGTTTCTTTTGATTGAACAAGCTCTTGCCTCCCTTGAATTGCAACACCCTCTATTTGTTTGGAAGTAAATTGTGTAGGTAGGCATTGCAGTTGCCTTCAAGTCTAGAGCTTCATACTTGTAAGCTTAGTTGGGTTGGACAGTGAGTAACCCTTAGATAACTTCTTTTCGTTTGAAGTTTCCATGTCTTTGTCTACATTCCTTTGGCAGAGTCAAGTATTGACTTGGAATTTTGAATGCCTGATGTAGGTAGATTTGTAAAACACTTGGAGATGGCAAAAGTGAAAATGGGTGCTAACTTGGCCCCAACAAATGTACCTAGTGATTCACAAGTGACGCCCGCAGGTGCTTCAAAAAGGAGCAGATCAAATGGAAAGTGTCATTACAAAGCCAAAAAGGACGAAATGAAGCCTCTTGATGTGCCGGGGTTGGGGTTGGGGTTGGGCACCTTTCTTTGGCCATTATGATAAATTTTGGAGAAAAATTAGATCTATTTGATGAGGCTGCAAAGAGTTCAACGGAAGTTTTGTTGGGCGGTGTTAAGTCGGACGAGGGAATGGAAGCCCCTACTCAACCAGGCTCTATTGTGCCCATTCATTTGGAGTTGGGGAGCTAACCGTTTTATGTCCCTGCTTTCAAATACTACATCGGTGTGAAGGATGATTTCCATATTTGAACTAAAGTTGCATTTCGTCATCTCCCTTATCACGAGCTTTTAGAATCCGCAAGTATTGCTTTTGTCATTTTGGGGTGGTCACAAGTCACTGTTTAGGTGAGTGCCCGACTGGTTTAGACTTTATGCTTTCTAGGTAGAGCTTGAGTTCCCACACTTTTGTAGCTCCATGGGGGGAGGTGGGCCAACTTTGGAGGATGTCACCGTCTTGACTGGTTTGAAACATATTGGGAAGGCTAACCCTACTTATTACCACTTTTGTAGCTCCATGGGGGGAGGCGAGCCAACTTTGGAGGATGTCACCGTCTTGACTGGTTTGAAACATATTAGGTAGGCTAACCCTACTTATTACTAGCTATCGAGTAGGCAACTGGCCATTGTGACAGAATTGGAGGCCTCAACTAATGAGGCAGGGAGGATATTGACTATTTATAGGAACGAAGTCCATGTTAGGACTCAATGGTGCGACTTCAAGAAGAATTGCTTTGGTGGTTGGTTGCGGTATTAGTACCATGATTTGAGCAAAAAAGAACGATAAACCTTCGACGCATGGAGTGACAAGGCCTAGCATGAAGGGTGGAAAATGGGGAAGTCCTTGGCATTTGGTTTACGTGTGTTCTGGGTGGTCGGCATTAGGATGGTAGTAATTATGAGTTGTTTCCTATTGATGCCATTCTTGCAAGTGGGCGTCCGGTTTCATTGGTGCCCTTGTTCCTTGGAAGCTTGGATAGGAAGTTGGATATGTATCAAGAGGCCACTTGCCGCTCAAAAGGAAGATATGATGTTGTGAACTTCATATTCACAACATTTCTTCTAGTGTTTTTCTATGAGTGATTTCCTTACGTAGCCCCCAAGTCGAAGTCATTTTCCTATGATACGGGAGGGATTGAACCCCGTTGTGCTTGTTGGCCCGACGTGGACGTCCAAGGGGAATTGATAGACATTTTTTATTGCGAGGATGAATTTGTGTTTCGTCCTTATGTCGCATCAATTTTTGGGGTTTTCTTATTTGATGGGTATCGTGCAAAGGATTACGTGGTTGAGATTGGATCGGGGGTGTCTTCTTTGGTAAATGTTGATCCTCTGGCCCTTTTTAACGTCATCCACAAGAAAAAATAGTTTCATAAAATAGAAAGGCTAAATAATTAAGAGGACAAGATATTGGAAAGTAGCTGCTCTTAAAAAACAAAGACAAGAAGTAGAGAACCATCAACTAATGAGATGATGAATAAAAGAAAAACATGGCCATATAGGTCAAGAACGTAGAAGTTAAGGATACCTAGCTGAGTAAATGAAACAAATCATTAAATCATTTTTAGTACAACACCAACCTGATGGATACCACTTTCATGAGCAAAAGCATTAGCCCCAACAATGGCCTTGTGTGGTTGCACATGCAGTCCACTGTACTCTTCTACCTAGATAAATTATCCATTAATTAATAATCACAATACAAACAATTTAATTAAGGGAAATACTGATATTAAAAGTTGCAAAAGCAGTCCTAGAAACATAACCATCTTGCTTGACATAACAATTTGTTGTGTATTGATCCCGGTATAAAGGTTTCCTAACACTTGTTCTCCACGGCATTTAAGGGCCATGGCAACCTACATTGGAAAGAAAAGCAAGCAGCACATTAGATCAATATAGAAATTTCAAGGTAAAAAGAATCCTTAAAAAAATCTAAGAAAATTAAGTTGAGTAACATCCTTAAAGGAAAACTTGTTAAATTGAATACATGATTTATATTCGCTAAAATGGTTATAATGGCACCCAATATCAGAAATAATAACATTCATAATGTAGAAAATTTTCAATTTATGTATTATTTGCATTTTCTTAATGAGAAGTACAAGACAGAAAGCAAAAATATACATTACAAGTATGAGAGGGAAAATAGAATATACAGCTTCACCACTTATCCATCAACCAGACTGGCATGTCCATCAAAGGGCTTAACAAGATGTAATCCTACTTTTGTAGATGTAACCCAAAAATTTTAATGTTTTTGATATTTCATGGGTGTTTCAATTGCAATAAAGTATCCATGTTGAAGATGCTATCCTATATAACTTTTTGAGGCATAGAAATAATTGTGGAAGATTCCATGATTCATTTATATCTTTGTTTGAAAATTTGGGCAGCATGAGGATGAAAAACATAGACACATACTATAACTGACACATGCCTAAGCCTAAAAGGATACATGACCAGTGACCTTGAAAAATGGAAGCACGACAAGTGACACAAATAACAAATCTTATCCCACAAGACTCCTATATCCTCAAACTTATCCTCAAAATTCTTGCTGAAGATGCTATCCTACATAACTTTTTGAGGCATAGAAATAATTGTGGAAGATTCCATGATTCATTTATATCTTTGTTTGAAAATTTGGGCAGTATGAGGATGAAAAACATAGACACATACTATAACTGACACATGCCTAAGCCTAAAAGGATACATGACCAGTGACCTTGAAAAATGGAAGCACGACAAGTGACACAAATAACAAATCTTATCCCACAAGACTCCTATATCCTCAAACTTATCCTCAAAATTCTTGCATTTCCTTCCAACCAAATGACCCAAAGCACGGCAAGTAACACAATTCCGAAGTTCTCAAGCTTTCCTGTTGAAGCCAAAACCTCTATTGTCAAGAAAGAACATCCAAACACATCAAGCTGGAACTACACATTCAACCTCCACCAACTAAAACAATCTATTCCATAATGTCATAGCCATGGGCCAATGCAAAAATAAATTATGAATACTTTCCTCAATCCTCTTACACAATACAATATAGTGGAAGTACATAACATTAGTCACTGACAAAGTTTTTAAAGGTTAATGTACAAAGTGAGGCATTTTACCCCTCAACACCGAGGTGTTGAAGCCTTTTGAGTTTTGAATTTTTATATTTTAATAAAATATAAAATTAATTAAAATAGCATAAAAAGAGTTTAGAAAATAAGAATAGCAAAGAAAATTCATAAAAACCATTCCACGCATAGAACACAATGAAATGATAAATTCAAATATTATAAGAGTATTCTAAGCATAGAAACATAGTGAATTGTAAAAACCAGACATAGACAACAAGTAAATATTATTACAGCTGATTCCAAAATAACAATGCACACCTAATAGCAACCATAGCGAGAAAGCAAAACTAGCACAAGTTAACAATGCCTAGCTTAACTTATTATAACCTATTACAGTAGAATTGACAAAAAAAGAATAGAAAAGAAAAGATCAGAAGAGAATTCAAGACCAGTGCTTTATAAATCGAAGCCTTACTCGAACCAGCAACTCGAACCCTAGGTTTGCTTCTTTTTTTTATTGGCTTCCTTCCTCATGAAAACCCTTGCTTACATGAAAACCCCTTATAAGTCTAATGTGACAGTTTATTTCCCGCTTATCTAATGCACCATTTACTAGAATTTTTAAAATTTTGTACAACCTAGCTTATGATTAGTACACCTTTCCAATCGAAAAGGAGTGAAATGCATAAAAGGCACACCTAAGATGAACACCTTACCGAAAATAGATACACATAATTGCTACCACACTTAAACTTAAACACATTTGTGCATTTTTCGTGAGCCTCGCAAGGTGCAGTTTAGAAATTCCTCAAAAAACTTTGGTCACTCATACACCAACTGAATTTAGGTTAGCAAACAAATCTTGCAAAAGGAAATTCAATAGGCAAACGAAAAGCAACCAAAAAATATCCTTGCTCCCTACTTTGTCATCAAAAACAAAAACCACAAAATGGGAAAGAAAATGGAAAAAGGAAAAGGAAAAATGAAAATAAAACATTATTATCACATACAGAATGCAATTCTATATTACCTAGAACGTGGATCGTTCCGGTACATGAAAGGGAAACGGGAACGTTGTATGCCACATGGTCTAAAATGTGATACGATAGGAATAGACTTACATATATTACACTTAAGAATTTAAAGTCCTTCTAGAGTAATTTTCTTTTAACAATTAAATATCCAATAATTTTTTTTTTTTTTTTTTTTTTTTCACGTCGCAAATCATTTTCCCATTTGATGGGACTTAAGGCTTGATTTGGTTTGGTTTGGTTTGGTTTGGTTGGTTGGTATGTAGCAAATCATTTCTATGAAAATTATAATCCATTTTTTATATTTTTGTCTCGTTAATACTTAACTCACCTTAAATTTTAGTTCATATATTTTATATTTTATTTTTTCTCTCCTAAGGTAACATTTAAGGAAATATACTAGAAAAAACTTTTGCAAATTGTTTCAGATCACTAAGTGTACCATGTTTCGGAACAAAAGTGTACTATGTTTCGGAACGTGTGTACCAATTCGTAACTCGCTAGGGTATTAACATTTTCTGGTAACATAGATGTAGTCCATATAAAAGTGTCCATGAAACTAAGAGAGAGTCAAAATTTGCTTTCTGCACACAGTCCAAATGTCATATGCAAAACATACACACACCTCCTCTAATGAAGCATTACCGGCTCTTTCACCAATGCCATTAATTGTTACTTCCACTTGTCTTGCACCTGCGCATGCTCCCTGAATTTGTACGAGCTAAGACATGAGTACAACTTGGTATTGTGGCCCTCAAATGTGTATAAGACAAATACAATTACATACCGCTAATGTGTTGGCAGTAGAAAGCCCAAGATCATTATGGCAGTGTGTCGAAATAATAACATTTTCGATTCCAGGTGTGTTGTCTCTTATGTCAGCAATCAATTGTCCAAATTCATTAGGCATATTATAGCCAACAGTATCGGGGATATTCAGAGTTGTAGCCCCAGCTTTAATAACTTCACCCAGAATATGATAAAGAAACTCTCTATCAGATCTGTTAAGGACCAACAGTAAGATACTGTTACGTTTTTTTTTTTTTTTTTTTGGATAAATAAAAGTAAGAGACTGTTATGTTAACAACAAGATGTTTCCAACAAAGACCAAGATCCTAGCAAGTTGTCTCTGAGTAGGAATGATGTTCACAAAATAATTAACTGCAGATAACTTAACAAGACCGTTATAAGCCTTTATAGACTATTTTCATAATTCAAAACTTTGTGAAAAGCCTACAATAAAAAATAAATAAATAAAAGCTATAGGATGTAAGATCTTTTTCTTTACTTAAGATGGACAATAACTCAGAAGATTAATTCAACCAACTTTGCCATTTAAGATTTTATTATTCTTGTACGACCCCATTTTTTCTCAATTATCAAAAAATTTCACAATCTCTAGTATATGAAACTATCTTGAGGCTCAAAAGCTACCCTTTGGGAATGCAACATTATTTAAGAGCAAGTCATTGATGTAGATCAGAGTGATTAACAAAACATAGAAATAAGAGATTGGGTCTTAGAAGAAGTGCAAATAACCCCTAGCTAGAAAATATTGGCTCACCCGTCCATACCACAAGAACCATTACATATTCATCATGCCAACTTCTCACGAAAATCACAAAGGATTAACAGCAATATAGACCTTATTTTTTCCCTTCTCTTTGCCCTCTCATCAATTATTCTTCAATCATGTCAATTTCTATTCATTATTGTCCAGCTTTTTGGGATAAATTTTTTCATAATGTTTCAGTTTTAATAGCAAATTCAAAAAAAAGAAAAGAAAAGAAAAGAAAAGAAAAATCAGAAATGCGGAGGAATGAGTTTCACGCCTTCAAGTTCTTTAAATATGAAACGAACATAATCAATAAATGAATAGAAATCATGGAACTGTAAGTAAACAGGAAATAGATAACTAGAAACAAAGGAAAAAGCAGAAATTGGTAGTGAACAGGCACAATATGCTTATTTATTAATGAGAAGTTGATGTAAAGCCTCACTCAAGACAGTGCAATAGAAACACTTTTGGGATTCCAGTAGATGACATATTTTGATCCCTCAATATTCAATCAAGAAACATCACAAAAAGGTGGTCTTTTGCCATATTCAGTAACAACTCCAATAAAATGGGTGGCCAAGTGCACGGTCCCGCTAAGGCGGCGTCTGGGAGGGGAAGATGTATACAACTAAAATTTGGATAATGTTTTCTTCTCTTTTTATATAATTTATCCTTTACATCTATCTGCATTAGTTTGGATTGTTTTAATCTTATCAGTGTAATTATACTAATTTTATAGTGCTTCTTGTATACCCATTATAAAATTTAGGCCTTGTGTGATTAACAGAATTACTAGTGAAAGCATTAATAATTCCCATGAATTAGTGGAGGATTAGTTATCCAAATTTATTCTGAATAAATTTTGATTTTTTTTGTCTTTCATAAGTACTTGAAAATTATGATCCCAGACCCTCTTAATATTAAAACTTCATAAATTTTGTCGAATTGAATGTCCACTGCACATGTAATCCGGTTAACACAATTTGCAATAAAAAACAAGGGTATGCTATAATCCTACTAATCAAACATGCCCTTAGAAAGAAGAAAAGAAAGAAAGAAACTGACCGTCCAGCATCTTCAGGGCTAAACTCAACATCATCACATCCCAAACTTCTGGCATACTTGACCATACTGACCGCAATCTCCAAAACCTCCTCTTTACTCTTCTTGAGCTTGTTCTTCATATGAATTTCACTGGTAGCAATAAAAGTATGAATCCTGGGCCTCTTGGCAAACTTGATAGCCTCCCAAGCAGCATCAATATCATTCTTACAGCATCGAGCAAGGCCACAAATGACAGGCACAAAACCATCCTCATCGACCGAATTACCGACCACCTGAGAAATGACTCTGACGGCCTCAAGATCGTCGTTGGAGGCGGCGGGGAAGCCGGCCTCGATGATGTCAACGCCGAGCTTGGAGAGCTGGCGGGCGATGTCGAGCTTCTCCTTGCTGGTCATGGTGGCGCCGGGGGACTGTTCGCCGTCGCGGAGGGTGGTGTCGAAGATGCGGACGTAGTGGGGGTCCGGGATGCGATTGGGGATGTAGGTAGGCCGAGATCGGGGACTGGAGGAGGAGCAGAAAATGGCGGTGAATGGGGTTGATGATTTTGACGGTTTGGTGTTGGAATAGAGAAGAACGCGAGTTGGGGTGGTGGTGGTGGGTTTGATGAAGTGTGAAATGGGTGTGAAATTGGGGTTGGGGAACAGAGACGCCATTGATGGGGAGAGAGAGAGAGAGAGTTTTCAATGGCTCTTTGAGGTTGGAACTTAAAACCCTACAGAGATGAGGTTACGGGTTTTTAATGGAGTACTTGAGACTAGTCAAAATCCAGGATGACTTTTAATTTTTAATTTTGAAACTCATATTTTAAAAACATTAATTTACTAATTCAATATTATATTTATAATTTGAAATTTAAAATTGTTTGAAATCATATTTTTTAATATATTATAAAAAAAAATGCTTGGGAGTACTAATTAGTGCTTCCACTAATTAGGTGGCAGTGGATCCCGCCATTAATGATGTGATGTTTTGGTCTTGGAGTTGTATTTTTTTTTTTTTTTTACTTTTTTAATACATTAGTGCTATTAGTGGTGATATTTTTAGTGGGATGAATCATTATTGTATTATAAATAAGGCGCACTGGCAAAAAAATCCAATCTTGAATTTTCTATTGTTCAAAGTTTGAGGCACTAAGTTATTATGTGCCGTTTTGGGAAGAAGCCGAAAACGCAGCGTTTGGCAACAACAACAAAAACGCAGCACCATGCAAAAAGTCAAAACCCACCATTTGGGAAGACCCCAAAACGCAGCTTCTTCATTTACCAAACTACCCTCTGAAAAAATTATTATTAATTAATTCAAAATAGTGTTGACATGTCAAAGGGCAAAATTGTAAATCTAATTAAAAAGCAAGGATATTTTTGGTCATTTTAGAGTGATGTGACACTTTTACAAAATATTAAATCAAAAATCAAAAAAAATAGCTCTTTACCAACTTCCCAAATCACTTCCAAAAAAACTAAAAAACTTAGTAAAAAATCAAAAGTCAATTTTTTACCAACTTCCTAAAACACCCCAATGGCTATAAAGACAAGTTATCACAAAATGACTAAAGTACTCTCTATCACCTCCATTTCTCTCATGCTTTTATTTCTCAAACCGCATTTCACAAACCATCTCTCTCTCTCTCTTCTCAGCCCTCTCTCTCTTTCTCTTTGGCCTCCTCTCCCCGACGCCGGCATTAGTTGATGCGCCACCGTGTCACTGTCTTCGCCATGTCGCTCTTTTCAACACCAAAGTCGTCGGTTACTTTGTCGCCAATCCCGTTTGCAGAAGATTTGTAGATCTATAAACCCTAACCACCACGCCGCTATAAGTCTGTAGATCTGTTTTATTCAAGTCTCTCTCCAATACTATCATCTTTTGTTGTCGGAAATCGCTACTATATCCGTCAATATCCAAACACCTGCTCCATCCTATCGCTTAGCGATAGAGCCAATTTGTAGTCAACACCGATGATATTGGCAATGACTTCAGGGCTCAGATGATTGATATCTACCTTAGGGTTATAAAGATCGTGATCAGATGAACCAATGCTCTTGATTTGTTAGTGAACGAATTGGAGCTTGACACTTTCAACACTGAACAAAGAGTTTTCCATCTCCTCTTTTGCCTTCCTTTTCAACACTTTCACCGACTCGCCCTCTCATTTTAGATTTTCTACTGTTTCTCTCCTTCCGACACATATCTCTATTTCTCATCATCATCTTCATCATCTTCTTCTCTCGATTACGATTATGATTTTCACTCTGATTGATTCCATCTTATCTTCTCTGTATATGATGTGATTCAAAAAAAAGTTTTTAACTACTTCTTTAACATTGAGTAGAATTTGTAATTAAATGATTCAAAGCTGTAGTTTCATATGTATAGTGGGATTAGATCATTTTGTACATCACCAATCCTTCTTATTAGTGTTTGGGCTTACAACGTTAATCACATTTGGCAATTCTTTTTGCTATTTGGGTTTGTTTTATTTGTTCCTTTGCTAGATTTTCAATAGATAAAAAATTGACTAGGGTTAGGCTATACCAATGATCTGTTCATTAAAAAAATTAAATAGATAAAAAATAGATTTTAATAGATAAGAAAAATTAGCACAAGAATTTTAACAAATAGGAAAAATTCGAGAGAGAAACTCACAGAATTTAAACAGATGGGGAAAAAATTAAACAAATAAGGCAAAAAAATTCAACAGATAGATATAAATTTGAATAGATAGTCAAACAAATTTGAACAGATAGAAAATAATTTAAATAGATAGATATAAATTTGATCATATAGTCAACGAAAAGTCAACAGATTAAAAAAAAAGTCAATAGATAAATTAAAGGATAAAATTGGAATCAAAATGTCCCCCAAGACAACGAAATGACTTCTTACCAAACTATTTCAGAAATTGTGGATCTCTGACCAATAAAAAATATCCGCTGAACCTAATACCTTATACTCTCATTAGATTGGATTTATGACCAATTTACTCTATAAATAAAAGAAAAAGTTACAAAAAAAAAAAAAAACTCTTTAGCTTTGAACCTTATAACAAAATTAATCTTAAATTTTTAATTTTACCAATTTAAATCTTAATTTTTTATTTATTTAATCTAAATTATTTGTCTGTTTTTTACAAAGTACAAATGACAAAAAAATTGATATTCTAGTCATTAAACTCAATATATGTATGCATAAAATTTTTAAAATACCATTTTATATTAAGTTTGTTTAGTAGAGTACTTTTTTTTTTCATCATATTTACTTAACCAAAATAAGTAAATAGTTTAAATTGAAAATAAATAAATAAAATTAAATTTAAATTGATAAAATTAAGAATCTTGATTGGTAGCTCGAAAAAACCCTCTCCTGAATCCCCCGAATTTGAAAAGAAGAAGAAAGAAGAAGAAGGAAATGAGGGGCCAACATCAATGATATTGGCAATGACTTCAGGGCTCAGATGATTGATATCTACCTTAGGGTTATAAAGATCGTGATCAGATGAACCAATGCTCTTGATTTGTTAGTGAACGAATTGGAGCTTGACACTTTCAACACTGAACAAAGAGTTTTCCATCTCCTCTTTTGCCTTCCTTTTCAACACTTTCACCGACTCGCCCTCTCATTTTAGATTTTCTACTGTTTCTCTCCTTCCGACACATATCTCTATTTCTCATCATCATCTTCATCATCTTCTTCTCTCGATTACGATTATGATTTTCACTCTGATTGATTCCATCTTATCTTCTCTGTATATGATGTGATTCAAAAAAAAGTTTTTAACTACTTCTTTAACATTGAGTAGAATTTGTAATTAAATGATTCAAAGCTGTAGTTTCATATGTATAGTGGGATTAGATCATTTTGTACATCACCAATCCTTCTTATTAGTGTTTGGGCTTACAACGTTAATCACATTTGGCAATTCTTTTTGCTATTTGGGTTTGTTTTATTTGTTCCTTTGCTAGATTTTCAATAGATAAAAAATTGACTAGGGTTAGGCTATACCAATGATCTGTTCATTAAAAAAATTAAATAGATAAAAAATAGATTTTAATAGATAAGAAAAATTAGCACAAGAATTTTAACAAATAGGAAAAATTCGAGAGAGAAACTCATAGAATTTAAACAGATGGGGAAAAAATTAAACAAATAAGGCAAAAAAATTCAACAGATAGATATAAATTTGAATAGATAGTCAAACAAATTTGAACAAAGATAGATATAAATTTGATCATATAGTCAACGAAAAGTCAACAGATTAAAAAAAAAGTCAATAGATAAATTAAGGGATAAAATTGGAATCAAAATGTCTCTCAAGACAACGAAATGACTTCTTACCAAACTATTTCAGAAATTGTGGATCTCTGACCAATAAAAAATATCCGCTGAACCTAATACCTTATACTCTCATTAGATTGGATTTATCACCAATTTACTCTATAAATAAAAAAAAAAGTTCCAAAGTCAACGAAAAGTCAACAGATTAAAAAAAAAAAGTCAATAGATAAATTAAGGGATAAAATTGGAATCAAAATGTCCCCAAATACAACGAAATGACTTCTTACCAAACTATTTCAGAAATTGTGGATCTTTGACCAATAAAAAATATCCTCTGAACTTATTACCTTAGACTCTCATTAGATTGGATTTGTAACCAATTTATTCCATAAATAAAAGAAAAAGTTACAAAAAAAAAAAAAACTTTTTAGCTTTGAACCTTATAACAAAATTAATCTTAAAATTTTAATTTTACCAATTTAAATCTTAATTTTTTATTTATTTAATCTAAAATATTTGTCTGCTTTTTATAAAGTACAAATGACAAAAAAAATGATATTCTAGTCATTAAACTCAATATATGTATGCATAAAATTTTTAAAATACCATTTTATATTAAGTTTGTTTAGTAGAGTACTTTTTTTTTTCCATCATATTTACTTAACCAAAATAAGTAAATAGTTTAAATTGAAAATAAATAAAAAAATTTAAATTTACATTGATAAAATTAAGAACCTTGATTGGTAGCTTGAAAAAGCCCTCTCCCGAATCCCCCGAATTTGAAAAGAAGAAGAAAGAAGAAGAAGGAAGAAGGAAATGAGGGGACAACATCAACCAGATGGGGGCTTAGGCAGAGGCGGAGGCAGAGGAGGGAGGCGGAAGCGGAAACGGAGGCGGGAGCGGGGGGCAGAGGCGGAGGCGGAGGCAGGGGACAGAGGCGACGACAAGACTGGGCTACGACGGAGCTGGGCTGTGACGACGAAAACTAGGCTGGGCTGCGACAACAACCGAGCTGGGCGACGATCGACAATCGGCGAACCTCTCTTCTCTTTCTCTCTATTTCTCTCTTCCCATATTCTTCTCTCTTTCTCTCTCTCTTCCTCTCTGCGTTTCAGCCTGGAAAATGGAAGAAGAAAAAAAAAAAGAAGGAAAATGCCCAAAACGACGTCGTTTTGGGCATTCGGGGAATTCAGGGAGAAAAGTTTCGAGTTACAAAACATTATTCTAAAATTAAAAACTTGAATTTAGCTTGTTACAAATGTCAAATCTTAGATTTTTTTTTTCTTTTCAAAATTTCCTCCAAATAGATGTCCTATATTATTTGATATGCTTATCTTATCATTTTATTAATAATATCATCTGTAATTTTGGTATAAAAAAATAAAATTTTAAATCAGTATAAATTTTAAAAAATAATTATAAAAAATGATAAATTTAATAAATATTAATAATTAATATTTTCTAATAATTTAATAA